CGGAGATGTGGCTTCATTATATTTCCCGAATAATTTTTAATATTATGTCCCATCGCTTTGATAGTGTAATAACAAGTTATATTTGTTTGTTTTTGAAGGCTTTTTAAATGAAAATTTACATTAAAATTCTTTTTTCCAGGCGTACAGACTATCAGTGGAATTATACCCTTGAACTGCCCTGATATCTGCGTGATGTTGTCATGGATAAGGGGAGGCATTGAGTGCAAAACGTTTAACGTATATTGTTACTATTGGATTTCCATGAAATCATGCTGGTATATTTTGGCGTGTTTATCGATGGAACCTCCTAATGTCCATCAGATGAAGCAGGTGGTGTCACTTCAAAGAAAAAGTGATGTGCCAATATTATCGCCCATTTTGATTGCCCATCATTCCGGGTAGCTCACAATCACATTGCAAAACCTGACTGATAGAATCCAGTTGGCACCAAACAGAGGACTAAACACATCTCACTAGTTGCTAGTGTCCAATCAAAATACCCACCACAGTCCTAAAGGGTTCCAATCTCAGAGGGAGGAACATGAGTTCCTTCAAGGTTGCAGATACGCCTTGCTGATGGGTGCCATGTAGCACGAAACCTGGGTCCAAGGCTTCCTGCCGATTGCCTCCAACTGTCTAATATCATCAAATAATCGCCCATTGCCTAACAGCGTTGTTTAAGGTGGCTTTATATTTTCTAGATAGCATATTATTGATCACCAGTATATACGAAGAATTTTATCACATCTAACTTGTTTAAGACTCTCTGTTTCAATCGAGTATGTCTGATCCGTAATACAGAAAAATTCATCTACTGGTTCTCTTAATTCAGTTCAAAGCACCTAGAATTCGCTCATTAAATATGTTTCAATTCGACCACCTCTAACTATTCTAATCTAATCTTATATGAGCTGATATTGTTTGACGAGAAAGGCAATGCCTTGGTAGGAGTAACACTGACTGACTGACTGATTTCAATGCAGAACTTCAAATTTACGTATGCGCTGAAGATGTTGCCTAGTAAGGCAATGAAAGCTTCACAGACAAACTATCCAACTCAGAGAACACAACTACACGTAAATCATCCACCTGAGCTACAAATATTCTTCATTATATCTAAATCTTACGAGCAGAACACGTATATAAGTTTTCACAGATGTGCGGCAGTTCCAGTTGCCACATCACCTCCATGTACCACACAAAGCAAGAGAAGAGAGTCAAAAGGGAGATATAGTAAAGGGAAATAGGAGTCAAAAAGAATAGCAATATAGGAAGAACAATAGAATTTTATTGGGTATTATAAATCACAAGGAGTGGATGCATCCGCGCCAGTCATTACCAAACAAGACTTTGAGTCATATCAACAATTGTCTCCAGCCTACATTGCTTCGTATATAGCGTGATCCCGAGGACCCCCCCCCCAACAAGTCAGTCAGGCAGTCTACACCTCCCTACGTGACTGGTTAGCTAGCTAGCTGACTGACTTAAACTAACTGTTGTGGATTTCATTAACTGATGAAGCCATGTTGGTATTGATTTGACCATCCAGCACATCAGCCTTCTCTTTTCCAATCTGATCCATTCTATGTCAGTCAGTTAAGATTGCCCTGTCGGTTGAGGAAGACAGGCTATGGCTAGACGTGCGTGCATGTGTAGCATTATATACTCTTGAACTGCACACTTATCAGAAAATCTCGCTTGATACTGACTCATATTATTTGCTTGATGTTGTCATGGATTAAACGAGTCAGTAAGTGCAAAAAGTTTAACGTATATCATTATTGAATTTTCATGAAATCCTCCTGGTATATTTTGGCCTGTTTACCGATATGAAACGTCCTAATGCCTACAAGGATAAACCAGGTGGTGTCATTTCAAAAAAAAAAGGCATATGGCAATATCATCGCCGGTTTTCAATGGTTCTCGAAATAACATCAATTCTTGATCGATCTTTCAATCAATTCAGACCTGGGATACTAACACTTTAAAAAAGTAATAATAGTAATAATAATAATAATAAAGTTAGTGTTTGCGCGAATATAAAAAATGGTGTTTTTTTGTAAATAGTCTTAGGTAAAAACAGAAAACACTCTCAATTCAAAAATCCTTTTTTCAGATGCGTCACTCTCAGTCAATCAATCAAACAATCAACTCCATTGTGTTATAAATAAGTTTCTGTGTGTATATGTGACCTTTTTTTCTCTCAAAGGAGATGAAATATTAAATCCGCTTTTCAAGGGTTGATTTGTTGGGATCTGATTGATTGGATTTCATCATGAGCTGACATCAGTTAGAGAACCATTGGAAAACCAACTGGGAGTACTGGATAGCCAACTGTCTCGTCAGCCTAGTTTGGGACTCTTAGCAGAAGTTAGAATTCATGGACTGGCTGGCCATTGGATCGAGTCCCAGTGGCTTAATGATCTACGAGGGGTGAAGTTCAACAATAGCGTCCCAGGAGTGTGAACGCTTCAATGACATTGAACGCATGCTAGTCGTTGGCTAACGGCTCCTCCAAAGCCTCAGGATGGTCGGGGGTGGGTGTCTTGTGCTGCGGGTCGGCCACCCCTCCGTAAACCTCTTGAAATGCTCCCATATAACCGGGAGTCTTACATAGCCTCTCCTGAGGAAGTCCTACTCACTGCCTTCACGTGGAGGAGGTGTTTTTCACCAAAGTGAGAGGGCAAAAGCGGATGCCCGGCGATCTTCACCGGGTTGACTGTCCATTGGATGACAGTCTAGGGGAGATGGTTAAACCCTGATTCCAAACCTCCAACGACTGGTGTATGAAGCTCACCGGCAGACGTATGGACAAAGGGCTTATTGCATGCCCTGGATGACTGGCCCCATTAAAAAAAGCGAATGAACCGGACTCCGGTCACCGGCTGGCTTCCAATGGATAGTGGACTCCCTACTCCACTCCGACTGCCTTGTAGGTCACACTTGGTTGTGTAAAGGCTGGAGCTGCACTCTCAAACAAAAGGCCAAGCGATGCTGGGGACATCACTCGTACCCAATTCCCATGAAACTTCATGGTTCATGAAGCCGGCTCATCCTCCCGTAGGAGATAGCCGAAGTAAAGTAAAAAGTAAGTAAATATCAACGCTATTCACCAACACAGGGGGAAATTTCAACCAGATTACGTTTTTAAGTGCTGTTTGGACAATGTATTAATAGCTCGTTAGAGTTAGAATTAAGGTTAAGGTGATTATCGGGGTTTGGGGTGAGGATCAGGGTTATAATTAGCATTAGGGTTAGAATTTCGGTTTGAATAAGGATTATGATTAGGGTTGAAATTAAGGTTAGAGTTAGTTTTAGGGTCAGGATTAAGCTTATGATTACGATTAGGGATAGATTTATAGTTGATGTCATTTATTTTAATTTGTTTTATTATGCACATTTTCCCAGTAAGTGGTTGTCAATCCTCTTGCTGGAAACCATAATAATTCAACCGAGGGCTGTTTTGAAAGACTGCAAGCAGGATGTGAGAGATAAACGATTCACAAAAACAGTTTATCTGTAGTCATCTCGGTGAAAACGTGTACAGAAACTAGTCTACTCCTCGTTACAACTAGGACGTATTTTTAAGCCGCGCCAGGAAAAGATAACCTGTTCAATGGGTTTTCAAGCATTTTCTTATCAAACAATCCTCATTTTTATGATTGGTCAGCTGAAGGTCATTCGTGCGTTCGCCTCCTGGGACGCTATTGTTGGACTTTACCCTACGAACTCGCTAGCCTTGTAACCGGAAAGTCCTGGGTTCGAACCCCCTGCGGTGGGTGCGTACTGTGCTGAAGAGTCCCAAACCAGTACTTCCGATGGTTTTAGCAATGGTTCTCTAACCAATATCAGCTCATCATGAAATCCGCTTTCTTACGTATTACCCATTCATCATCTATCCGTCTGTCTGAATTCTCGTCTTTTTGCCAATTTACATTGTTTCAACACATGATTATTCTAGAGTCATGTGATACTGGTGATCATAATTATAGAATGGTTTTGTGTGCTAATTATTGTGAAACAAATGTTGTAAGGCGTTACTACTAAAACAGCCAGTTAGACAGTCAATCAATATTCACTATTACTTTTACTTACACGGTATCTCATGTATTTCTAGCTAATGCATTAAACTTTAAATTACAAAAATAAAATCACGCAAACGGTTTTTTCTCTCTAATCCCTTAAAGTATTTTATTTTTTTTATTATAGCTTGATTCCACATCGTATTTTTGGTACAGGTATGGAATTTTCAGCAGGTGATATCGGTAGCCCAAATTTTGCAGGCCGACCATAGATATCAGGTGTGCTTCGTCGTCAGGGGATCGAACTCCAGACCATGTGTGCATAGTCGGCGAGAGTCCTAACCACTGTGCCACCGACGCATAAGTGGAGGACTTCGATGCGAATTCATCTGACTGACAAGTATACTCAACACTGTCCTAAGGTTAAGAACTGTGAACCTATGGTAAAAACTGGATGAAGAGTCCTAAACTAGACTGATGAAACAACCAGCTGTCCAGTACTCCATACAGGTTTTCCAATGGTTCTCTAACCAATGTGTCAGCTCATGATGAAATTCTGTAACCAAGCAAGCATATCCTATTGTTACTTCGATCCCCATCCCACTGCATTCCCCACCCCCTTCCCTACTAGACACAATACCTTGTCATGTCTGATAAAAAAAATCAATAAATCAATAACAACATCAGAATATGTTTACATACATGTATACGTATATATAGATGTATATCAAAACAAAACATAAGCTTGTTGCTTTTGTGTGTGTGTGTGTGCATGTGTGTGCGAAAGAATGAATGTGAAATACTTTTTATAATAATAATGTAAAATATGACAAACAATTTCATAGTATGAAGAGAAATTGGCCTAAACAAAACGGAAAAACAAAACAATTGCATCTTGATTACGTAATAAAAAATGACAATAATTATACGCCTGAAATCTATGCAAAGAAAAGAGGAGTGAAGACGCACGCCGACACACGCACGCACACACACACACACACACAGAAATAATTAAAATCAAAAGTAAATAAGAACGAAATAATAAAATAAACACAAATAAGAGAAGGAAAGATTTTGTGTAGAACCCAAAACTGTCAGTCAGGCAGTGAATGAAACAAACACGATAAAAACTGAAACTGTAATCAATAAATGTGTGTCTGCTATCGATCTGTTTGTCTGTCTTTCTATCTATCTGCCCATGTGTCTGTCTATGTCGACATTCACCTAGATAGATAGCGAGAGGGAGGGAGGGGCATATCATCGAGTAAATCATTGTCAATAGGGCTGAAAGGGATCCCTTAATCCTATTGTTTTCATGTCTATCAAACATCCATCCACCCACACACGTACGTATGTACGCACACACACACACACACACATCCGTACGCATAACACACGTAGATGCATACATACACATACATACATGACCGGGGTGTATAAATACCTACATACATACATACACACATACAGATTTATGCGCGAAAGACAACTTAAAAGAAGATAAATTGATAAATTATTTTCAATTATAATTATAATACTTAATAAGAAATGATAATAATTTCCGTCATTAAAGTAGTCTCATAGAATAATCACCATCATCGTAGTAGTAATTATTAGAATTAATTGATTAATTAATAAGGATAGTAGATTTTCTAAATTTTTAATAACACACACACACACACATTGAATGTGAGTGGTAAAAGGATGCTGAATAGTAAAACTGACAGCAACAGAAATAGACAATATTACATCTAGACAAGTGCGTTGGGTTACGCACGCATGCACGCGCACACACGCATACACACACATATACGACGTGCGAGGAATTGAAGAAAAAAATAGCTGAACAAAATATGGACAACAGATTTTCATGTAAATGTAAAACAAACAAAGAAAGAAAGAAAATAAACGTAAATAAATCAATAAAAATATAAACTATACAAATGACTGACTGAATTACACTTCTCTTTTTTTAAAATAAAATATTTCTGTCATCACCATATACATATTCACCATATATATATATATATATTATATATGCTTTAATAAACAGTAAGACATGAAGATAAGAAGAGATATGGCGCGCGCGCATGCCTGATTTGAAATAAAAAGGAATACTTGTGGGTGGGTGGATTTGTTTCTCCCTCTCTCTGTTTATGTGTGTATGTGTGTGTGCGTTTGTGAGTGGCAGATGGTGGTTGGTTGGTTATTCATTGAAGTTGAATAAAGGGGATTAAAAGAGTTAGTTAGTTATTCAAGTGGATGAAGTTTGGATAACACCCTGATAACAAACAAACTGGTCACATACACATACATACATAGACCGCAGATACGCACACACAAACACACACACACACATACGCAAAGACTTCTTTACCTTCTGAAACACTTCTGTATTCAAGAATGAATAAGTAGGTAGGTAGGTTGGCAGGTAGGTAGGTAGCTAGGTAGGTGGAGAGAAAAGTATGTGAATACGTGTGGAAGAGTTCAGAGACAACACAGTCATCACACTGTAATAATTACAGTTCTTGTTGCTCTTCTTCTTCTTCTCTTTTTTCCACTTTTCATTTTTTACTCACATTTATGCTTCCTTGTGTGTGTGTGTGGGGGGGGGAGTGGGTGTGGCGGTATAATCTGTAAAAACAGCATCTCGGGGATAATTGTGGACAAGTATTCTTTCTGATTCATATTATGAAAAATGGCCAGTACAACCATTTTGATGTTGAGGTTGTTGACAATGATGAGGATGTTGTTGATGCTGTAGATGATGTTGACAGGATAACGATCCACAGGATAACGATGGTAACAATGATGATGATGATGATGATGATGTGAAGCACGATGATGATGCTGGAATATGCAGAATATCTGGACTAGATGAAAGTGTAGTAGTTGACGGGGAAGGGGAACACGTTGAAGAACTAATGTTGGTGGTGGTGGTGGTGGTGATAGGCGGAATACGATCACAATCATAATTATTACTAGGATGAGTAGTAATCATAAGATTATTATTATTATTTGGTTTTATAATATCACCACTCTTCATTATTTTCTCTGACGACGTAGACAATGATGCCGGTGACGATGCTGTACACATAGAATCTCTTGAAGGTATATTCAAAGAATTTGTAAGGAGACTGTTGTCAATACCAGGAGTAAAAACACTGGAAAATGCATTCGATATGGAACTACAGGAAGATGACATTGATGAAACCGACGATGAGGTGAACGATTGAGGATGAAGATGCGGAGCAGAGGGAGGGGGAGGAGCAAGGGGAGGATTGATTAAATCGGATGATGATGATGGTGCTTTTGATCTACCCCCACCAGCAGCAGCGGCAGCACCACCACCCCCAGGTCGACCTCTAGTCCGTCCTCCACCATTATTACCTCCATTTCTTGAATTATGATTACTCGACTTCATAACATTTGTATTACTATTACCATTATTGTTATTATTATTATTATGTAGGTATTCTGATTTGATATTCACCTTTATATCCGACATGTCCGACGATGGGAGTGACCTATTATCAACGTTATCTTGTCGGTGGTCGATACCATCTATCTTTGTAGTAGTACACTGAGATAATTTATGCTCTGAATCCATTGTTAACGACTTATAACATTTGACTTCATTTTCATTGGAACCATTACTATTACTATTAGTAGTCAACAGAACTGACAAAGCATCTTTAATTCCATGAAATAGCATATTTTTAATTTGTAATTTATCTTCACGATTTAAATGATTTGGTGATAATTGACGAAATTCTTCTAACAGCTGGAAACATTGTGGTAGGTGTTCAGGTGAAACAAAATCCACAGCTGCTTTAATACAACTGTTTAAATTACGAACCTGTTGCAAAAAACAACCAATCATGAAGATGAGAAAAATAAATAAATAATAAATAAATTATTAATTAATAATTAATCGCAGTTATATGAATTTATTTTGCATTAAACATTAATTTACTGCCATGAACAGATATCTCAACTCCCCCCTAAAAAGAATGAGTATCTCATTTCATGAGAATCGCCTACCAACTGTCGTTTTTCCATGAAAAGATGTCTTAGTTAGCGTAGGCCATTTCAATAAAGCCATTTATTATTCAGTTGTTTAGCTGTGATTATTAGCAAAGTGAAATCAACCAATCAGAAACTGTGGACTAGTTTCGCATATGCCAGTTTACACTGTTTCTGGCTTGGTAGACGTGATATCCAGCTGACTGTCAACTAAAAGGCGTGTGTACTGCTCAGCGAAGCAGTCCGCTCCGTCCTCCTATATGGATGGCTGTGAGCGAGATCTGGACATTGAGAGTGGAACACATGAAAAGGCCAGCTAGCTAGCTGTCTTTGATCATAGGTGCCTGCGTTCTATCTCCCGCGTGAAGTGGTAGGTGTAATAGGGTGACCAATGTTGAGGTAAGGCCTTGGTCGAGTGGTATGTAGGTGGGGGAGGGTAAATCAATCGACGAGGCTGTGAAGCAGTTACATCGACTGAAATGGTTAGGACATGTGTTACGTATGCATGTCTAGTCATCCATCGCCTTCGTCGACAATGGGCAATGTTAGCTGGCTGACATAGGGTCAGGCTGGAAAAGAGCTAGCTAATGGTGGTCAGACCGAAACATGGCTTCACCAGTCAATGAAATCCACAACAATTAGTTTAAGCCAGACAGCCAGTCACGTAGGAAGGTGTAGACTTCCTGGTTGGCTGGTTGGGGTCCTCGGGACGGTAAACATCAATGATAGGCTGGAGGGAATTGGTGATATGGCTCAAAGTGATGGTTGTCAATGGCTGGCTAGCGCAGATGCATCCACTCCTTGTTACTTATGATTTCCAATGAAACTATATTGTTCTTCGTTACTATTACTATTCCTTTGTCTCACACCTCTGTTTATACTGTCTCCATTATGCATTTCTTCTACTTTCTTTTGTTTCTTTGTGTGGTAGAAGGAGTGGAGGGTGGCTACTTGAACTGTTGCACATCAGTGCAAAGTTCTATGGCAATACAGGCAGACAGGTGACAGACTATGTTCCGTTACGCTTTGTTTATTAATAAAGAAAACTATCGATCTATACATTGCCTAATCGAAGTAGTCTTTATTTAATATGATACTAAAAAGAAGTTATAGATATTTATTGGATCCTGGTTCTCACTCTGTTTTGGATTGGTCAACTCTGGGTAACAAGCAGTATTGTAAGCGTTCACGTAACACAAGTATTTTGTAGTGTTATCCCAATGGTGAAGATTTATGCCACAGCTAGATAATTTTCATGGAAATTGTGTTTTCTTCAGCACTGAAGATGTTGTCTAGAATGACAATGAAACCTTGGGCAATTCAATCTATCCAGTTCAGAGAACACAACTACACCAAAGTGATAATCATCAGCTGATTTTGTCTGTGGCACTGCAAAGAGAAATCTACCAATCAAAGAACATATAAGTAAGTTGCCTACTACACGTGCGTAGGCATTGCACGTGTAAATTTGGTGTAAGCACGTTACACAGTTTCCGTCTGTCTGTTTTCCACAGAGAACTTTCCACCGATGTGCAACAGTTCAAGTAGCCACCCTCCACTCCTTCTACCACACAAAGAAACAGAAGAAAGTAGAAGAAATGCATAATGGAGACAGTATAAACAGAGGTGTGAGACAAAGGAATAGTAATAGTAACGAAGAACAATATAGTTTCATTGGAAATCATAAGTAACAAGGAGTGGATGCATCTGCGCTAGCCAGCCATTGAGAACGATCACTTTGAGCCATATCACCAATTGCCTCCAGCCCTTCATTGGTGTTTACCGTCCCGAGGACCCCAACCAGCCAACCAGGAAGTCTACACCTTCCTACGTGACTGGCTGTCTGGCTTAAACTAATTGTTGTGGATTTCATTGACTGGTGAAGCCATGTTTCGGTCTGACCACCATTAGCTAGCTCTTTTCCAGCCTGACCCTATGTCAGCCAGCTAACATTGCCCATTGTCGACGAAGGCGATGGATGACTAGACATGCATACGTAACACATGTCCTAACCATTTCAGTCGATGTAACTGCTTCACAGCCTCGTCGATTGATTTACCCTCCCCCACCTACATACCACTCGACCAAGGCCTTACCTCAACATTGGTCACCCTATTACACCTACCACTTCACGCGGGAGATAGAACGCAGGCACCTATGATCAAAGACAGCTAGCTAGCTGGCCTTTTCATGTGTTCCACTCTCAATGTCCAGATCTCGCTCACAGCCATCCATATAGGAGGACGGAGTGGACTGCTTCGCTGAGCAGTGCACCCGCCCTTTAGTCTGTCACCTTGGTATCAAAGTTATTTTTCAAGAGGTTTCATTTAGGATATGTGTGAAGCGTATGGATAAGTATATGGCATAAAATCTGACTGTCATTCAACTTGACAAGTGAATCTTCTTCCAGAAACGATTGCTAACCATCAACTATACAATCCCCTGTAACAAAAATATATATAATCATCTAAATTCCACTGCACTTTCTGTTGATTGATTGTCACTGAACCGAAATATTTAGTCAAATGTGTTGATGACATATCGGCCATCGTTACAATGTCTGCCGGTGTTCCCACCCATCTGACGAAACTCGAATAAAGACGAAATGCGCATCCTGGGGATTCTATTGTCAGTCATTATATCAACGACCAACTGATTATTAGATCGGTTAGTGAATCCCTGAAAACCAAATGACACTGGACAACTACTATTCCGTCCTAGTTTTGCACCTCTTGAACGGTACTCAATCGATAATCCAACTAAGACCAGGTGCATTCTTTTCTCAATGACAATATATATATGGTAATTGTGTCAAACTACTCATTATTAACTTAACAAAAGTCAATCACACCAGTAGCGTGATTCTCTCAAACAAGGGGGTTCTCATTAAGTGAAGTATTCAACACCTAGAATTTATGGCCCACATGACTCAGTTAATTATTTTATCGCCGTATTGACAACATCATTCATATACACTGGGTCAATTACAGCATCCCCCCCCACAGGCACACACACACACACACCATTCTGATTTAGCTATAGTTAGTAACATAGATAGATATACACATATAAAACATTCTTGGCCGAAATTAGGCCATATAAGGTTAAGTGCACTAGAGAAAATAAAAATAATAACAATAATAATGCAGTGAATCACTAATCTAAATGGTACATAGCCTGTTCCGTATTGAATGATTTTGTGTCACAGTAAGGTAGTTCATTTACATGTTGAAATAAAAGTACGAAAAAACACAAAAAACAAAAACGAAACAAAACAAAACACAAAAAACAAAAACGAAACAAAAAACAAAACACACTCTGATCAATAATACACATGCGTATATTGACTAAGTCTTAATGCCAAATAAATTCTACCATAGTAACCAATCAGTATATCCATTATGACAGTTTCACATAAGGACACTCTTAGCCAGAGAATGTTTATCAACCTAAAAGTTAGGTGAATTTCAGTCACAGGATTTCATCATAAGACATGATATCAGTTAGTTAGACAACTGTTGGAAAACCACCATGGTAGGTACTGGACTGCCAGCTTATTCATCAGACTAGTTTGAGACTCTTCATCTGTACGCACCCACCCACTGGGATTTGGAACTCAGGACCTTCTGATTACAAGGCTAACGAGCTCGTAGACCATTAAGCCACTGGGACACTATCTAGTGGCTGTCCATGAAATCTAACTTCGCCCACACGTACTTGTCATACACAGTTTGTAAAGAAGGCGAGAAGGCCATGAATCATTACAATACAACGTCAGATTGTGTACACGTCAAGGTCACAAATAATGGGTAGGGAGACGCAAAACATGTGGGTAAGAATGATAAAAAAAAAGCGAAAAAACAAAGCAAAGGGGTTGAAAATATTTTAAAGTAAATTGGACCTTGGTTCTAAATTGAATTACAAAGGCAGGTTTAAGGTGATAACAAATAACTTTTGGACACATAAGACAGGTTTAAGTCTTTTTGTAGCCAAGGCTTAAACGAATTTAGGTATGGAGGATTTAATCATGAGCTGACATCAGTTAGAGAACCATTGAAAAATCTGGGAGTACTGGACAGCTGTTTCGTCAACCAGTTTGGGACTCTTCAGCAGTACGCACCCACCACAGGGGGTTCGAACCCAGGACCTTCTGGTTACAAGGCGAGCTCGTAGACCATTGAGCCACTGGGACCCGATCCAATGCTCCTTGAATTCTAACTGCTGCCGATTCACGACATAGCGCGACCACTTCGCAATGTCTTCTTCCATGAGTTACTGCCTCATCTTCAACCTGCTGTACCCTACTGGTCACGGCTTCCCACTAGAACCCCAGGTTAACTGCCTGAATAGGGCCAGTCACTAGTGAGCATCAGATTGATTTTCAAGTATTGGTTTTGTAGGGATTTTGTTTGATTGCATGGAGGATTTAATCATGAGCTGACATCAGTTAGAGAATCCCGGTGGGTGCATACTGATGAAGAGTTCCAAACTAGGACGAAACAGTTGTCCAGTACTCTCAGGTTTTCCAGTGGTTCTCTAACTGATGTCAGCTCATGATTAAATCCTCCATGCAATCAAACAAAATCCCTATAAAACCAATACTTGAGAATTTAAGTATGTGACCCGGCCTTGTTATATACATCGGCTTAAAGGCATTGTTGAAATCAACCTTGTGACCCGTCTCTATAATATGCTTCGCTATATATGATGTTGTACACCTGTTTCCGGGTTCATTTGTGTCTGGCGATTGTAATTGTTGTTGCAGCCACTTTGGAATATGTTCTGTAACCCTAACCTGCAGAGATCGATTGGTTCTCTCTATGTACTTGTCCTCCATACATACATACATACATGTAAATTGATAAACACAGTGGGATGTGACACTGTCGCCTGGATAATGTGAGGGTTTACGGGACAGCATAGTTCTCGTTTTCTCTATGAAGATAAGTTTAGCTGCATAATAAGTTCTATTAATTACGGTCTTGAGTCTTTGTCTAGTGACCAGACTTTGTTGATCACCCCTGAACGGCAAGGATATGTTAACATCCATTTTAGGAGCTGATTGGATTGGTAGAGCTCTATGGGGTTGACACTTCCGTAATTCCTAATAAATCTCAGTGGGTAATTGTTATCTAACAGTATTTCAGTGACGTGTTGTCTCTCTTCTTCAACTGGATCGGCAGTACATATACGGTGAATGTGCTTGAACAAACACCACTTAACCAACGCCTTTTTATACTGTAGTGGAGAGAAACTATGACAAGTACTGGTGTGTGTGTGTGTGTGTGTGTGATCAGAATGTCCGAAATGTGTTGTGCAAATATGCACATTACACGTTTCAGATAAACTACGTCTTCTCTTATTGTGTTGTCGAAATAAACAACAACTTATTCACCAACAGGTTGCAGACCTTTATCAACAACTAACTGTCAACTATCGCTCTGTACTGAATGAAGATCAGAGGGCTGGGTCGGAAAGAATCACCAATTATGGGAAACTATGGGAACAAACAAAACAAAACAAGAAGGAATCGCCAACCAACAAATATACAGCAGGAGAAAGTGGAGATGGATTGGACACTCGCTAGCTGAGGAGGCCACTGGGTGACCTGGCGCGCGCGTCAGGCCATTTCTCGAGTGGAATCAGGCCGAAAGGGAAGCCAGCGGCGAATGGGACGTCAGTGCGAGGGTGGGTGACATGGAGGAGATGGTGTGAAGAGGAGTTGAAAGAGTATGGACTAAGATGGATTCAGGTGAAAAGAAAAGTACAGTAGAAGGAAGACAGAAGCAAATAGAGGGAGACGTTCAGTTGAAGCCGTATGTTCCACTAGGAACCCAAGGGAATAATAAAAATAATATCAATTATAATTATATTCACTAAGTATTTTATAGCGTTACACACTTTACCTGATGAGCAGCACCAGCTGGAATGAATACAGCATCACCAAGAAATTGTACAATTGTACACGGTTGAATTCCTGCATAATCATATAATCGATCCAATAATGATTGATCCAAATAAAATAATTGATCATGTATTGGATCACTACCAGATTCTACAGGAGAGCCGGTTTCTTCTTCACTAACTCTAGAGAGAAATTCTCTTAGTACAACGGAATCTTCAGGCAGAAAAATATGCCATAATGCTCCAGGAACATCTTTTCAAACAAGCAGAAAAATTTGTAAAAGTAAAGAAATAAATATATAACAATAAGGTTTAATGCTGGAAAATAAAATATATTATGAGCAATATTAAAATCGACTATATATATATATATATATATATATATATATATATATATATACTTACTTTACTTTACTTCGGCTATCTACTACGGGAGGATGAGCCGGTTTCAAGAACCATGAAGTTTCATGGGAATTGGGTACGAGTGATGTCCCCAGCATCGCTCGGCCTTTTGTTTGAGAGTGCAGCTCTAGCCTTTACACAACCAAGTGTGACCTACAAGGCAGTAGGAGTGGAGTAGGGAGTCCACTATCCATTGGAAGCCAGCCGGTGACCGGAGTCCGGTTCATTCGCTTTTTTGAATGGGGCCAGTCATCCAGGGCATCCAATAAGCCCTTTGTCCATACGTCTCCCGGTGAGCTTCATATGCCAGTCGTTGGAGGTTTGGAATCAGGGTTTAACCATCTCCCCTAGACTGTCATCCAATGGACAGTCAACCCGGTGAAGAGCGCCGGGCATCCGCTTTCGCCCTCTCACTTTGGTGAAAAACACCTCCTCCACGTGAAGGCAGTGAGTAGGACTTCCTCAGGAGAGGCTATGTAAGACGCCTGGTCATATGGGAGCATTTCAAGAGGTGTACGGAGGGGTGGCCAACCCGCAGCGCAAGACACCCACCCCCGACCATCCTGAGGCTTCGGAAGATTAAACAACAAGGATTCCTGACAATTCAGAGAACCAGCTAACAATCCCATCGCCCAACACAATAGGCAGAAAGAAGAAATGACGATGAATCGGAAATACACTGCAAAGGACTGTGTCCTCTACAGCTGGCTAGCCCCACACGACTACCAATAATCTCTCATCTCCTCCTTGCCAACACATGATCTCCTCTATGACCTATTCGTCACTTCCCATTTGGATTCCACGCCGAGCGATGGCCTCCATTGTCCACGATGTCATTCGACGGCCTCCTCAGCATGTGCTTGATACATCTCCACTTTCTCCTATATATTTGTTGAGAAATCGGTTCTTGATTGGTTAGTTTGTTCCCAGCCAGAGTTTCTTGTTACTGATTCTTCTTGACCTGGCTATTTGATCATCAACAAGGGGGCCAACGATTGATCAACGTGTATCTTCCCCCCTTCCGATTTTGGCTAGTTGGCTTTGACATCTTTATCCGTTCCGACTGCCTGTGTGGTTGAAACTATGATTCTAGATGAAGGAATTAACCCCCCCCACCCATGTCAAATTTATCTCCTTAATGGTGATTGGTGTTGGTTGGTTGGATTTTCTATAGCCTCCATCTTCTTTATGTTCACCTGAAGTCCTGCCTTCGCTTGTTTATGCGGGTTATGCGGATGATGAATGAAGTCGAAGGTTTTGAAGTTAATGATATTTGTGTATCAGAGAATTATCAGTAAAGCCTTTGAAGTTCATTTGTAGGATGGTAATAAATCTACAACCGTTGACCAGGTTATTGTTGTGAAAGGATCTTCCATTGAGACTGCCAACAAGGTCTGTTAGATAAAAAAGCTAAGAAATGGTCACACATCTACCAGATGTACGTTTGACAGAACTAGGTGGTGGTGGTGGTGGTGGTGAAGTCTTGTTACTCACCGAGTTTGACGTGACTAAAGACCACTGAGTTTTAGACCAGAGGACTGCGCGGAAAAAAAGTTCATGTGCTACCAGGACTCTATCTGGTTGGATCCTCCTTGGACCTATGAATTATAACATATATAGTTGAAGAGTTGTGAATCTTATGTCACGAAGCTTCAATACTATAGAAGCTCTGAAAACATATACATCACTATGAATTCGCCAACGTACATTCCTTCTCGAGATGAATCTTCATCCCTAGATGATCTCAAGATGATTGACGTATTTAAGTGAGGGACATTTAATGACAAAGATCATTTTGTAGTCTCTCTACCCTGTAAGTTGAAAACCTAAGTCGTATTTGGGATCAATGAGTTAGCTAGACGAATGCTTGATAGCTTGGAACGTCGTATCATGCACACAGCTCTAGGCTGACAATGAAGGGTAACACTCTTACATTTGCTTCGTTTCCAACACTATCAAAAATATCAACTCCTTTAGAGAAACAATCAGTTATCGTCTTAATATTTGAGTTAATAAGGTTATGTGACTGTCTATCGTGATCGTTATCATCACATACGTAAACTCAACTGATGTTACCCTTCAGTGTGTTAGTAAATCCAATTTCTTTTCTAGACGCTAAATTTCTGTTTTCTGTTTCGCCTGGAACTCACAAAATTCTAATTCCTGTTTCTGTCTAAACCCATCCAGCAGACCTACTCTCAACATTGAGATCTGACATGATCGTTAACTAAACTCAAATGAGAGCCACAACATATAAAATGCATCAATACAGTGTTGATGTGTTTCTAGAGGTACATCCAACAGTGCCATGTTCTCTTTCTCCAACGGCAGTCTAATAATGACTTAGCTGGGGTTCCAATTAAAACATGCGACTTCAAGCTTTAAAGATTCAATAGATATAGGGGCGTTGTTTATACGAGTTGTGTCAGCGGCGGGGGAAGGGTATGCTAGTCTCACAACCAGCCTTCTCCCTTTACTAAGCGTACAACCCGGTTGAGAGAGTTTTAAGAGTGTCTTAACTAGGAAACGAATCCGAACCGCCTGAGTAGTTGGAGAACGCTCCCACTATTAAATCACCAAAAACAAAGTTGTGCAAAGATGTCTACATTGATAATTTTAACTTGAAAAATGTGAATATGAAGCAAGTCCCAAAACGATATTTCAAAGGCAATTTAGCTTATCTCTTACAGACAATCTAGAGAATATAATTCAATTGAATTTTAGACTTTCCTGTCGATTGACTGAACCGAAGTGCTCGGTCTTAGGTTGACATGTCTGTTGGCTTCTTGTGCAGATGCTTCGACGATGTCTCTACATGTAGTTAGAAGTTAATTGGTGGACGGTGACTAGCAGTGGAATCCAGGATAACGCGCATTTCGTTCTGACCACATGCCTAGACATCGTTGAAACATCTGCACAAGAAGCCGACAGACATGTCAACCTGAGACCAAGCACTTCGGTCTAATCAATCCACTAGAAAATCTAAATTTAAATTAAACAATTAATTAATGTGACCCGCTGCACAAAAGGTGACCAGCTCTTGTGGTTCAAGTGGTCTACTAGTGGATAACACTTTGGCTGGTGTTTGAAACTATGGACATTGGGTTCTAGCCTTCAGCCTGGGAACATCATTACCCACCACCCACTGAGGAATGCAGGTACATTCTCAGTTAGTTGACGAGTCCCACATAGGACGAAATGCGCATTATCCTGGATTCCACTGGTAATCATCATCCACCATTATCAAAATCTACAGAATAGCCTAACGCAGACTTATAAGGCTTAGAATGGATACTCCTGTCCCTCTTAGATGTCAGCATTTTTAATCATCTCAAATCAGAAGTATGCCAGTACTAACAATTTTAATAACAGCAATAACAACATCAAGAAAAAGAAGTTATCTTACCATCGAATCCAAATTCTCGATTATTATTATTATTATTATTATGACAGGATTTAAGTCGATTCAACCAACTGACAGTTCTGTCAAGATAACTATTATCCACACGTGAACACTTTAATGTGTTCAGCACATTTTCAGCATTTGTTAGCATATCTTTTGATGAATCTATTGGTTGACCTACACACAGCATAACATTAACAGCATCAGCGATATCCACATGTAGATTAGTTGTACTGACCTGTTAAAAAATGTATTCAAAATAATAAAACAACAACAACAAAAGAATGATATCCGTTATTCAGTTAGTTAGTTATGTCATGTTAAGTTAGGTTATTTTGAAGCAAAACAGATTATCTACAAGCAAAATAATTCATTCACACTTCATATTAGGTCGGGTATCTTCAAACACACAGACTAAACTGAAAGTCTTTTGAAGAAAATACACAAAGCTAGCCTTCCACTCCACCCTATCTTGGATATGTCTGGATCGCTTTATCATCCAGTAGCTGGGTGGTTAGCTGAAATCCTCGAACCTGTCAGGTGACAACTATCTAATCATTCTCTTCGAGACACCTTCCAATTTGTCGAATGTATACAAGATACAAATGTTTCGAATAAACATATGTTGTCTTTGGATGTAGAATCTCTATTTACGAACGTTCCACTAACAGAAACCATATGTTTTATATGCATATATATATATTGAAGACAACTAATTGAATATAGGAATACCCACTACTGATCTGAAAGAACTACTTTTGAGATGTTCATTCAATGTACAGTTTACTTTCAATGAAACAGTCTACAGACAGAAGGATGGTACTGCAATGGGTTCTCCCTTAAGCCCTCTCCTTGCAGACTGTTTTATGTTCAGTCTAGAAAATGGTCCCCTGAAGCCTACAATCCAAAGCTTTCAAGTGTAGATGACATATTTATTACTTGTAATAGTGATTGTAACTTGAATAAAATAATAAATGTATTAAATGGTTGCCATCCTGTGATAAAATTCACACTCGAAATGGAGAGCGAGTCTAGCATTCATTTACTCGATGTGAACTTATCAAGGAGGACCGATGGAACTCTGAGAAGATCAATTTATCGAAAGCTGTCATGGAATGGTCAACTGACAATTTTCTACAGCTGGGTACCGATCGGTCGAAAACGAAACCTAGTCCGGTCGCTTGCCACTCACATTCGGTGCATATGTAGCCCTGATACGGTGGAAGATGAGTTATACCGTTTGAGGAAAATCCTAATAGAAAATGGATTTCCATCACGTTTTATATATAAGAATATACATTCAAATCCTATAAAACGTGACTTATCACCCGCACCCAAGAAAACACTGTACATGAGCTTGGAATTCAAAGGGGACTTAGCTTCCGATATCATGAAACAAAGGATGTTACAGTCCCTGAAAAAAGAACATTCCCTACTGCATCTCTGAGAATAGCCTTTACTAGCCGACCATTATTGTTCAATAACCTGAAGGACAAGATCTCTCAGCTGTTGGCCAACTCTATGTGTGTTTATCAATTCACCTGCTCGTGTGGAGCTAGGTATATCGGTTGTTCGACTCGAGTTTTGTCCAAAAGGATGCAAAACACTATCCTGCATGGCAGTTACGAAAAGGTGGGAGTGGAGCAATAAGAAGCGCCGTCCTTGAACATCTGGTCGATAATGATCACCCTACCTATCTCTATAGTCTCCACCTTGAAAGTCATCTACAAGGCAAAGAGTAATTTGCCGAAATCACTACGTATCCACCCGATTCATTTGTATCGCTGAAGCCATCTTTGGCTATCGAAACAGAAAAGCTAGATCTCTGTGTACAGAAAAAGTTCGTTCAACTGCCCCTACAACTTTCATGGTCTTAATCCCTCTATGCTAAAGTATGGGAATCCCAAATCATATTTTAGCTCTACCAATTTTTCATTTTTTCATTTTGTCTATTCAATTTGTAGTCTCTTCCTTATTACGTCAATTGTTATTATTACTACTCTCACTCTGAACTGTCCCCGGTATTATTTCACTTGTTCCACTTGTCATTCTAAATCAATTGTTTTTTACAACGATAAATTCTATACTATTGAATTTCACACAATATCACGTAACGTTTTTATTTTATTCGATTTGTCTACTAATCCTATAATTGCACACCCTTTTTCAAGTTCTATCCATCCTATGAATTATTCTATATATGACATTAATCTGCTTTGCCACTTGACATTTAACTACGATTATAATCACAAACATTTTAGTTTTAATTGCATTTTATTCATTCACACCTAAGATTCCATTCCCTCACAGGATATAACTTCTTAAAAACCATATACACATACGATTGTACAGCTTGATGGTAAATTCGTTGTTGAAAAGAGTCTCTTCGCTGAATCACCACTTGTTTTGATTTTCTAAACTGTAAGTCACACATGACGTGAGTAAAGGGTTTTAGCATTTGAGGAGTTGGAGGGAAAGTTTCATTAATACAGCAGTGAAGATACATCGATTGGAGATGATTAGGAGATATGTTATGCATAAAGATCCATCGCTTTCCTTTTACAAGTAATATGCTATGTGATATACGCGTCAGGTTAGAGAAGAGTTAGCCGTGATCAAACAGAAATCTGGAATCAATCCACTAATTCTTTGACAATTGCTTTAAGCCAACCACATAAGGAGGTATCCACTGTCTGGTTGGGGACTTCGGGATCACGTGTCGTTAATAACCGATGGTTGAAGACTATTGGTGAAATGGTTCAAAATTGTTCTCACATCAGTAAGAGAACCACTGGAAAAAACCAGCTAAACTGGTAGCTATTTCGTCAAACTAGTTTGGAAGTGTCTTCACAGCACAGTACACACCCACCATAGGGCTCGGAACCCAGGACCTTCTGGTTACAAGGCGAGCTCCAAACAATCAGACGAAATCCATACACAAAAACCAATACTTGAATATCAATAAGATGCTCACTAGCGATTGACCCTATTCAGGCAGGTAGTTACCCGGGGTTCTAGTGGGAAGCCGTCGCCAGTAGGGTACAGCACGTTGAAGGTTAGGACAGTTACTCATCGACGAAGACATTGCGAGTTGGTCGCGCTATGTAATGAATTGGCTGAAGTTATATAATTCATAGACTGATCATTGGATTGGATCCACGTGGCTTAATGCCCTACGAGCTCGCTAGCCTTGTAACCAGAAGCTCCTGGGTTCGAACTCCCTGTGGCGGGTGCCTGCTGTGCTGAAGAGTCCCAAACTAGACTTACCAAACAGCTACCAGTCCAGTTCTCCCTGCAGGTTTTCCAACCGTTCTCTAACCAACCAATGTCAGTCAGCTCATGATGAAATCCTCCAACCAATCAACCAAACAATATCCCTACAAACCACCAATACATGAAAATTTTATTATTTGACTGCTTTGCGTGTTCTCATTACAACATGGAACTTCAAACTTCTCTTAAAGTTTCAGTCGACATGTTGTGGTATTGTTTTCTTAATTTCTTCCTTTCCTCTTTTCTACACTAACTATCCTATAACAGGGGTAAAACGAGGCACAGAGAGGGGTGTAGTATCAGATGGGAATTCAATCCTAATCACTTATATGACCTACTGAGTATTCTCCTACTTGAAGAGACACTGACCCACACTTGATATACTAAAACGTGTTAATCAAAATGCCTATTGTATCTGTATATATATATATATATATGATGAAACATTGTCGGGGTGTATTCATGAACACCATTCACTGTTCTATGAAATAATTGCATACCGATTAAACCAGCCAGTTAGAACTAGGCTACACAGAACAGATTTTCTTTCGCGTTTCAGGCTATGAACTACACATGATGATACTATAGAGCTGTTCAAGCTGAAGTACATTCAAAAAGAATTAGATCCGAAGACTTACTGACTGATAAATTAGAATGTTTAAGTCAATAAACTAGATCTCTACAATGAATAAACTCGTATGCTTTAGCTTTTGAACCACAATAGGAAACCACTCTTAGTTTCACTATTATCCAGACGACATTTCTAGGATCATAAGCCGAGTCGGGTGTGAGGACGAATACTCGCCACCGAAGACATTGGCTAAGGGTTGCGCGCTATGTCGTGAATTGGCAGAAGTTAGAATTCATGAACTGGCTGGCCATTGGACCGGGTCCCAGTGGCTTAATGGTATACAAGCTCGCCTTGTAATCAGAATTTCCTGGGTTCGAACTTCGCAGTTTGCGTGCGTACTGCTGAAGAGTCGCAAACTAGGCTGACGTAACAGTTGTCCAGTACTCCCTACAGGTCTTCCAATGGTTCTCTAACTGATGCCAGCTCATGATGAAATCCTGTAACCAATCAACCAAATCCCTACAAATCAACACTTGAATATCATAAGCCTCTTTTGAACAGTCATGCCAGACAGTTAAGCTCACTAGTATGCACTGTGGTATACAAGTCCAACTATCGTGTCTTGCTAATAAACAACTAACTGTAGGTCAATTGTTAGGTTGTCTCATCACGATTCATCACATCAATTATTGAGAACAGTGAAACCAGATAGTAACTGACAACTGTTTTGTCCTTGTTTTGGGGGACTGACTCTTCATTAGTACGCATCCACGACCACATCAACAGGGATCCAACCAAGATTGTAGACCCATTCCTAGCCCCTTGGATAGGAATTCAATCATCTATGAAGTTGAAATTTTGTCAGTCCGTGGATATAGCACTTCCGTCACCAATATCTTCGATAAGTATACGCTTTACCTTGATATCGTTCAACCCCAGTGGTTACCACTTCACATTGCACCTTCAGGGCATTCATGAAGTAAATTCATGCATGAACTGGAGATTAGCATTTAGATTGTGAAATTCACAGGTCATTGAACTCCGACTTAAGTGGTTGAAAGTTCAAGGGTTCAATCCCCCATTGATAGGATTTACGGGTGAGCACAGATGAAGAGTCCTAAGCTGCAACGAAAAAGCTGTTCAATACTCCCTACTGGGTTTCCAGTCGATCTCTTCAACTGTTATTAGTTCATGACAAAATCTAACAATTGCAATCAAACTAATCCAGATCCGCACAAATCCCATGATATTCATGATAATAATATAACAATGGTTAAATAATGTGTGAAAAAGACATCTGTTCCCCAAATTAAAAAAATAGGGCTAGGGGTCGCGCTATGTAGTGAATTGGCAGAAGTTAGAATTCATAGACTAGCCATTGGATAGGATCCCAGTGGCTTAATGGTATACTAGCTCTCCTTGTAACCAGAAGGTCCTGCGTTCAAACTCCCTGTGGCGGATGCGTACTGCCGGAGAATCCCAAGCGCACTAGGACGAAACAGCTGTCAGTACTCCCACGTTTTTGAATGATTCTCTAACCAATGTTAATTCATGATGAAATCCTGTAACTAATCAATTAAATCCCTACAAACCAACACTTAAAAAAACATAAACCACTGAACTTACCGCATTTGAACCAACTGTCCCATAGGCTACATACAATTTAGGCCCTAAATCAGGACAGACAAAAAATGATGCCAGTCTGGCGGCTAAATTCAATTGACCATCACGTCGTGTATAATCTGGCATTGGTAAATTTGACATTAAATCTGAGAAACGTTTTGGTTGCAGTTCAGCAAAATCATCTGTAGTTGGCCAATCTTTAAGTTTTAAGCATAAAGCACGACCATCTTTACTGGTGATTCGACCTAATTGAAACAACAAAAAAAAGGGAAACAGGAGAATAAAAAAAGGAGGAAAATAGGGTGTGCAAAGGATGTGAAACGCTAATGACGTTCATTCAAACCTATCATCCTCAGAAAGTTTATTTTGTATACAACAACCTGTCAGTCTGATGCTAATGACTCCCAATATGCCTGAGCATTGATGCAGTGAATACTTTTTCTCTTCACGACTCATTGGCTTGCGTATAGTTATCTTCAACTTTAGGCAGATTTGCAAGTGTTTGTTCGCAGGAATTCGATCGATTTCAAGTATGACCACACAGGGTTCGAATCCAGGACCTTTTGGCTACAAGGCGAGTTAGATCGTAGACCATCAAGCCACTGGGACCCGATCCTATAACCTAGACAAAGAAACCATTTCAACAACAGTGTGTGTTACACACACACACACACACACACAAATTCTCTCTGTCTCTCCGCCTGTCTACATGTCAATATAATTCTTCAAACGTAATCGAATCCTCCTATTTGTGGTTTTTTTTCTTCAAATGAGTCTGTCACATGTACCTACATACGTACGCGCGACTGCATGTGTATGTGTGTGTGTGCGTGTCGGTCGAATACTTCAGTGAATGGTCATATTATTATCATTATGGACATTTTCATGTACCTACACTGTCTCTCGAGATATTATTCTGTTGTTTTTCTGTTTTCGTTGTTTTTATTTAATTTGTTTGTTCCCAACTGATAAGAGAATTCTTTTTGTATGGATAGATACATAAGAGAGAGAGAGAGAGATCTTCTCTATACTAAAACCCCTTTCTTCTCTTCTGTTCTCTCTCCACCATAAGAATGAGAGATGAATAGATATATATCATGCATGTCCAGTCCAGGGCGTATTGTCTAAGATCGATAGAAGGAATATGCATACCAAATTATATGTCCTATCCACTGACTAAAGTATGCTAGGTATGGACTATTATTCAGCATAAACTCGTGTCGTTCTCTTGCTCTCTCTCTCTCTCTCTCCCTTTCTCTTCAATGCTTTCAACGAATACATGAATACAAAAGTATCAATAAAATGCGAAAATATTTTTTTTAAAAACAAAACAGATATACACATATAGATATGTTTGAAATAATTTATTCGTCTTAGATTTCCACCTACCCACCCAACCCTCCATTCTCTTTATATTTACACGTTTCAAAATATCCATTTAACAGGGATACACTTATTATTATTATTATTATTGCTCCCTTAGGCTCCTCCAACGAGAGCTGAAGTCTTGAATGCAATCAAGCTTCTGAAAGCTGGAAAAGCAGCTGGACCAGATGGAATACCCCCTGAAGTACTAAAAGCGGACCCAGAGACTACAGCAGACATGCTGACTCCATTATTGCAAAAGGTTTGGAAGGAGAGAAAAGGTGCCTACTGACTAGAGGAAAGGTTACCTCGTTAAACTATCGAAGAAGGGCGACTTACGCCTCACTCTGCAAGAACTGGCGAGGAGTCATGCTCTGCTCCTGTCGACGCCAAGTAAAATCATCCTGGAGAGATTAAAGAACGCACTGGAGACAGAACTCCGATCAGAACAAGCTGGATTCAGGAAAGTTAGGCAAATCATGTTCTGATTAAATTGTAACTCAACGCATCATCATCACAGAACAAAGCATGGAATGGCAATCAAACCTCTACCTCCACTTTATAGACTTTGAGAAGGCCTTCGATAGACAAAGTTGACCGTGAAGTAATTTGGGATACACTAACAGTACAGATATCTGACGATTATTCACCCTGGAATAAGAAATTCACTATCTACTGTTAAGGACGGAAATTCTTTTAAAAAGACAAAAGAGAGAAAGATGGATTTGTCTTCATGTTTCTCATCTAGTGAACGAAAGTCACCTCTCTCCAACCAACCCCCCACCTAACCGACCAACCGACCAACTCTAACTAGCAAAACACAAATATGCGTGTAGACTCTAAAAGGGTAGCAAAAAACAAAAAAACTTCCTTTGTCATGAATATTTAAAAAACTACATAAAAGGGGGTGCTCGGTATCAGGTTGACATGTCTGTTGGCTTCTTGTGCACATGCTTCAACGATGTCTAAGCATTTAATTAGAGGTTAATTTGGTGGATGGTGACTACCAGTGGAAACTAGGATAAGGCGAATGTTGTCCTATTTGGGACTCGTCCGCCAGCTGGATGTACCTCCATTCCTCAGTGAGTGATGATGTTCCCAGACTCGAAGCTCGAACCCAGGGCCCATAGTTTCAAACGTCAAAGCGTTATCTAAAATTCAATTCAATTAATAAGAACCATTGCACAAGAAGTGGGTCTCGTGGCCCAAGTGGTCTAATGGATAACGGTTCGGCGTTTTGAAACTATGGGCACTGGGTTCGAGTCTCGAGCCTGGGAACATCATCACTCACTCACTCACTGAGAAATTCAGGTACATCCAACTGACCACGAGTCTCAAAAAGGACGAAATTCATGTTATCCTGGATTCCACTGGTAGTCACCATCCACCAATTAAATATTATACACAAAAAGGGGATTAGAATTGATTACTGAATTGCAAAGAAGTATTCTCTATATTGTAGTGAAGCTGACAACAAGACATAAAATTCTGATGAAACTGTTTGAAATGAGACTACACATTACACGCATTGTGGAGAAATTTTTATTCAAAAAGTAAGCTTTTAATGGCTTTCATTTATTTCAAATTTGATGTCGGATTGATATCAGTTCAAGAAGTATTGAAAACTATCAGAAAGAACTGAACGATCACTTCAGTGTCTGTAAGTATGGTATGTACTTTGCGCCGTCTAAGTACGAAGTACTGTTACAAGATTGACAGGAGCCTGTACCTGCACTCACTCTTGCGGGTAAACCGCTTGAAGTTATTAATAAGTTTGTGTATCTGGGTGGGTAGTTGTATGGGTGCTGGAGGAGGGGTGACGGATGAGATTTCCAACCGTATAATGAAGGCTAGGGTGGCATACATCAACTTGAGCCACTTATGGCGCCGTCGCGACGTTAGCCTGGCTATCAAAGGTCGGGTATACAATGCTTCGGTTCGGGCTGTCTTGCTCTACGCCAGGCCTGTGAAACCTGGCCTCTCCGAGCTGAGGATGTGAGACAACTCTGTGTACCCACCACAGAGGGAGTTCCAACCCAGGAATTCCTGGTTACAAGGCTAGCGAGCTAGTAGACCATTAAGCAAATGGGACCCGATCCAATGGTCCTAGAATTCTAACTTCTAACAATTCACGACATAGCGCGACCATTTCGCAATGTCTTCTTTGATGAGTGACTGACTGCCTCATCTTCAACCTGCTGTACCCTACTGGTCACGGCGTCCTACTAGAACCCCGGGTAACTACCTGCCTGAATAGGGCCAGTCGCTTTACGAACTCTAGTGGATAAGGTAACAGCACTAAGAAATGTGCCAGTGAATAAACAGTGTTTCAGCCTTCAAAAGAAAAACAAGGAGACATATAGCTTGAGAGTCACTTTATCATAAAAAAGTGTCTGTTATCAAATCAGCAGACTGATAGAAAATCAGTAACAATGAGACGACAAAGTAAATCGTGCTATCTACCGAAATCAATACTAGAATATTGAAACTGACTAACTGAGTGACTGACTCACTGACTGTTTCAACATAGAATTTTGCTCAGAAATGCACCAATTCAATTTGCTAACATTCCATGTCGCATACAAAGGTAGAGAAAATAGAGATTCTCAAGTATTGATTTTTGTAGGGATTTAGTTTAACTGCCAATTGGATCAGGTTCGAGTGGCTTAATAGTCTACGAGCTTGCTAACCTTGTAACCAGAAGGTCCTGGGTTCGAACTCCCTGTGATGGGTGCGTACTGTGTTGAAGAGTCCCAAACTAGACTGACGAAACAACTAGCTGTCTAGTACTCCCTGTTGTGAACTTTTTTTATAATACGTATCTAGTCATATTCATATCTCTACCGCTATTAACACTCTTTTTTCCTTTATATGTTTAAGCCATTCCGGCTTCATTGTAAAATGAATAAAGCCTAAATTCTTGGTTCATTCGTCTTTTCAAGATTCAAGGATCACTCATCGTTCTAAGACTCAGTCACCTTCGTAACACTCCCTATGGCTAGTTTTTCAATGGTTCTCTAACCAATGAAAACCTCCAACCAATCAAAATAGAAAGTCAAAAGGACTATAATGAATAGAAATGTGTGGGTGATAGAATAGTAACATGGACAATTACAAAGAGTGAATCTATCTGAATCCATCAGTAAGAATGATTCTGAAAGATATCACGAGCAGTAGTCGTCTCCAGTCATCGATTCTTAGTATCCTAGGGATATCAACCCCAAGGAGTCTACACCTCTCTCTCTCCCTAGATGTAAACAGTTTGAAACCAACTAAAAGTCGTTCACAAACTGACAAGGTGTCTTCATCGCATATCCAACAACAGTCAAAGAAGATAAAACTAAAATCATGTATAGAATAGACAGCATCAATTGCAGGACACAGGATATCGGTGAAAGATAACATCTCAACATCACCCTTTGATATATGCATTCACTCAGTGTTGTGAGTTATTCATGCACACAAAACTACGAACAACAGTTCAACTGATACGATCTTAGAATCTTTGATAATAATAAAGGAAACAGAAAAGAACGATAAAATAATCTTTTTTGACACTCCTGATATTCTCAAACAAAACAATTCGTGTGACTGCATGAAGGATTTCATCATGAGCTGACATCAGTTAGAGAACCCCATTGGAAAACCAGCTGGGAGTACTGGACAGCTGTCTTCTCTGCTATGTACTGGTCGAGAATTTAATAGTCCTGACGCAAGAAGACGGAAATCAGAAGACCGCTAGGTTTGCAATGATACTTCTATTTTCCAAACACAAGGAGAATGCAAAAGTGGTATCACACCAAAGTAGTCACACAAGATTGTGTGAGCGAAATATATATATTCATGTCCAGACAAGTGTGTGAACAATCAATAGACAGTC